TCCCCACAGATTGGATGAGTATTCAACTTCACTGCATTACTGCTTGAGAATTCAATTGTTATCCCAACCAGTTGATATCAATTTAATTCATAAAAGTTATGTACTTGTTTTGAGTATCTAGTGTAGAAGTTGTGACCAAATTCTTACGAAACGGTCTAAATGAATGATATACTGAACGTATGTCCTCTTGATATGTGTATCTCTTTGTAACTGAATGAATATATATCTTTTGTATTATGATAACCCTCATGATAAGATCTGTTAGGTTTACATGCATATTCTATGTATTAAAAAAATGTATCCTCGTGTATTAGTACCTGTGTGTGTGCGTTGTTTGAGTTATATTAAAATAATCATTTCGTGATTTACTGCCACAATTACTAATTGTCCCAGTAAATGCCCAAACCCCTACAGAACCGGTGCCTCATGAGAGCACACTACATACAATGGCCTCGCACTCTGCAGCTTCCCCGATGCTGCCTGTGTTGTCTCCAGGGTCCAGTGGGAGTTCTGAGACCCCTCTGTCCTGTCTCCGGTGTTTTAATCCCTCTGCTTAGCCAATCCCTTTCAGGGGATTTTCCATAGTCCCTGGCAGAATCAGGTTTGCCCAGTATTTTTCCAGGAGGGTGCCTTATCAATGAACTGATAAGTGTCATGGGACCTTATCAGTTAATTGTTCACTCTCCGGCTCTCTCCTCCCTTTGTCTGGCTAAACTGGCTCTGTGACTCCTCAAACCTCCAAGTCTTGATACCTAATTGTTCCTGCTAGGCGGTATTCATTGGGACAACTGCAGTCACCCCCCTGTGTGAGAGGCAACATTGACACCGCCCTGGAAATCAACATAACCTAATCACCTAGCCATTTACAGCCTCAATGGCCCACATCCTGCAAACTAATCAACATAGCCCAATCAATCCACACCCTTTGAATGCCTCAATGGCCCTGTGACACTCACATCCTGTGACACTCCCCACCACCAGAAGCGTGGTCATCCCGACCACAGGTTATTCTTGATACCTTGCAGGCTGACCCCCCCTTGTGGATCTAGTTGATCTGCACAGCATACCCTCATGTTCTGATGCCTCAATTTCTCCAATCCTACTCTCTTCTTCAGCAATCCTCTCCTCAGGCTTGGGGTGGGTATTGGGCCCTGATTGTGGCCTATTCTGTCCCTCTTGTGGTTCCCTGTAAGTTACCTCAGGCGGAGAAGCTACTTGGGGTGCAAACATCGAAAACAATGGAAACCCTCTGGTTGGACACTCGGCTCCTCTTTGTGCTCCTGTTACCTGCCCTGTGTCTTCCTCTGACACTGACCCCTCTTGGTCCCAACTGTCCTCTAACTGAGGGATGTTGCAGAGACGCAGATTATTGCGATGTAGTGTCCTCTTAGGACCTTCCCTGCCCTCAGGCATAATCCTGTACACCGGACTCTGGTCTGTTACGGATCCCACTACCATAGAACTCTGGGGGTAGCCCGGTCCCTGCTCCTGTCTCTCCTGGAACTGCCTGCTGTGCTAAAGCAGACATCTTGGCGATACCTGTGGGCCTCCTTGACAATATATCAGCATTACAGTTTAGTACCCCTGGTCTATACTTAATATCGAATGAAGTTTGCTAACTGAGCCACCCACCTCTGCTCAGTTGCACCAGGGTGGGCAGTATCCAAATGCAGTAGTGGGTTATTATCCGTAAACACCGTAAACTCTGCTCCCCACAGGTAGTCCTTAACTTTTTACGTAACGGCCCACTTCAAAGCCAGCAGTTCTGATCGTTTCATTCTGCAGGATGAAGGCTATGGCTGGCATATGCGATTACCCGCTTAACACCTTCTTGCTCTTGAGCCAACACTGTCCCAAGTTCCTCGAGGCTGGCATCGTAAAGCTTGAACTGCCGTCTGAAATCTGCATAGGCTAGGATTGGGGCACTGAGCAGCTTCTCCTTCAGTGTCTCAAAAGCTTCCTGGCAGGCCAGTGTCCAATCCACCTCCTTTCCTTTTCTCCCAAGAGCAGCTGTGCCACACAATAAGGCATTCAATGGGGCTGCAATCTTTGAAAACCTTGGGATAAATCTTGGCAATATCCCACGAAACCCAGAAACGAGCGTACCTGGTGTACTGTCAAAGGACGCGGCCAATCTTCTACCGCAGATACTTTCTCAGGATCAGTCTCAACTCCAGCTTTACTGACCACATGCCCCACTTTACCTCTTTGCGAAAGAGAGCACATTTCTGAGGCTGTAGTTCCAGATGCTGTAGGTGCGTCTCAAAGGTGGGCGAGTACACAATCACATCATTTAGATATATCAGTAGTGACTCATTTATCATTAGCCTGAGGCAGCGCTGCATCAGGGGTTGAAAGGTTGCAGGGGCATTACACAGTCCAAAAGGCATACGCTCAAACTCGTACAGCCCCAGTGGAGTGGTGAAGGCAGTTTCTTCCCTGTCCTGTTCACTAACTTCCACCTGCCAGTATCCGCTGGCCAGGTCAAAGGTAGAGTACCACCCTGCCTGTGACAGTGTTGTCAAAGACTCCTCAATGCGGGGAAGTGGTGTAACTTCCCCGCATTGGGGACTGCATTCAATTTTCTATAGTCCACACAAAACCTCCATGACCCATCCTTCTTCTTTACCAAGACAACTGGGGTGGCCCATGGGTTACTGCTCTCGCAAATAACCCCTTTCTCCAACATCCCATGTAGCAACTGTCTCAACTCCTAGTATAGAGATGGGGGAATGGGACGATACCTTTCTCGGGTAGGAGGTGCTGAACCAGTTGGAATATGGTGAAGGACTGCGTTTGTCCTCCCAAAGTCCTCATCATGGGCTGCAAATACTTCTCCCCACTTATCCAAAAGCTTGTCCGGTCATCTTTGTTGAGGTGCCGTCAGCTCTTCACCTTGGATCGAAAGGGCAGGCAGTGTTTCATCCTTTCTAAACTGGGTGTTTCGCACCCCCACCTCTACTATCCCTGGGGATAACCTCTGTAAAAAGACATCTCGATCACCATACACATCATCTTCTGCAATCCTACTCACTTCCACAAGTGGCTGTCATGAAGGGAGTTCCAAGGGATATCGGTGTAGGTTCCATATGCGCACAGGGACCCGTCCGTCCTTGGTCCAGCCCACGGACCTAACCACCTGCCACTCCACTAACACGCAGTGACTCTCCCACTGGGAGCACTCTGGGACCCGGGCCAACACCACCATTTCACTGGTTGGAGGAATCTGGACTTTCATCTGTCGTGTCAGCCTGGCCTTCCTTATTTGTCCTTCGGATTCTTTCCAGCCTCCCATCCGCTGGCATATGGTGAATGTCCTCTCCAACTCACCCCGAGTGTGCTTAGGGACCTGAGCTTGGAAGGTTTTAAGATAATAGGGGGAACCTTCCCCTAATCCTTTCCACAAGGGGCCGATCACATTCATTCCAAGTATTCCTTGCTCTGTTCCTAAGCAATTGTCTTCAACAATAACTATCCCCTTAGCGGCAATCAAAACACCACCAACCAAGAAATCCGCTACTGCATACCCAACATATGGTATCTGTAGTCCATTGGCTGCCCACAGCTGCAGCCACTCAATGTCCTTTTTCTTTTCTTGCGGTCGGCAACCCAGGTATCCCTTGAATAAACTTTTGTTAAACAAGGTTACCTGGGACCCGGTATCTAGCATACAGGGGATCACGATGCCATCGGCTTCCACACTAGGGCTTTGTCCTACAAAGGCAGGTACTGCTTCAGCTGTTTCTGCTTCTGTCATCCCATCCATGCGCCCTACCGTGGCTGAGCGCTGTGTTTTAAGTGGCAGTTGTGTTGTAAATGTTCTGGGCTGGTCACACTGCAAACAGATGGGGCGGCCCACTGCGCTTGTTTGCTAGGTACTGCTCCCGGTCCTGGTTGGTGTTCCCTGCGTTGGTTTCTCTGTGGAGCCCTGGAAGGAAGTGAAGAAAAAGCTCCAAAAATTTTCCCTGTAAAGTCTGACCAAGTTCAGCTACCTGGTGTCTTAGCTCTCGCCTAATTTCTTCACGGAAGAAATCAATCCAGGCCTCTCAATTCGACGTGTGGGTAGTTTCTACAACTCGTACCTCTGCCTCAGAGTGGACGGGTCTTTCAGTGTTTGCAGGAAGACCTCCCCTTGCTCCCCGTAGCACTTTTTCTATGTCGCCTAACTGCTGCTGGAGCTCCAGTCGTAACTCAGTACGTAAGGTATCTGCCAACTGTGCAGGTCTATTTGAGGGCAGGGGGAGTGTGGTGACTGCAGCACTGGCTGTAGCTTCAGATTCTCCCCCCCAGCCTTCCTCTTGTAGCAACCGTGCCTCTCGGACCAAATCCTGGAGGGTCAGGGCGGGCTCCCTTCGAGCTTGATGCTGTAGTTCCTTCTGTAGGGGTCCTGGCCGCAGACCCACTAGAAACTGTTCACGAAGAGTGTTCTTCCTGCTTATATAGCCCTCTGGTTCTTCTGCCCTCCAATGTTTAAACAGTTCACCCAAGGGGAGGGTAAATACTTCTAAAGATTCCCCAATTCCCTGTCTGGCCCTGAAAAACTCATGGACGGTGCCCCGACCTGCCTTCGGACCTGCTTGGATTTGGATGCCATTCTTTGTCTCCCCCGCTCACAGTCTCACGTAATGTCACTATTTTTAGATGTTCATGAGTAACTGCTGGCAATTTAAATGAAAAAAAAAACTATTTGAAATATATCTTTCCTAAATTAATGTATATATTTTTTCATAAATCTTAAACTATTTTAAAGTCTCACTGCTGTGTAAACAAATTCAATGGTTGAATTTAGAGAATATTGGAGATTGCACTTGCATGAACAATAGTTTGTGTAACAATTTACAAATGTTAATTTGATTATGGAGGTTTAAGTTGAGGGTGTTCCAAATCTAAAACCTGCACAGACACAGACGACTGTGAGTTTTGCTAAAAGGTTAAAAACTGAAGGCACTCATTTAATTCATGATCTAGCCATGCCACAATAGATTAGAAAGGAGACAGAGTGATTTAATGTTTTTTATTAGTAAATCATTGTACAGCTCCTGTACATTAATAATTAATAACCTTCTGTGTATTGGCTTACCCTGTGTCTCTCTCCTGTGTGAACAAGTTGGTGGGTTCTTAAACTGCTTGCCTGACTAAAACTCTTCCCACACTGACTGCAGGTGAAAGGCTTCTCTCCTGTGTGAATAAACTGGTGGGATTTTAAACTGCCTGCCTGACTAAAGCTCTTCCCGCACTGACTGCAGGTGAAGGGTTTCTCTCCTGTGTGAACAAGCTGGTGTCTTTTTAAGAGAGTTGACTTATTAAATGTCTTCCCACACTCACTGCAGCTAAATGGTTTGTCTTCTGTGTGAACAAGCTGGTGTCTTTTTAAAGGGCTTAACCCATTAAAACTCTTGCCACACTGACTGCAGCTGAAAGGTTTCTCTCCTGTGTGAACAAGCTGGTGTCTTTTTAAATTGCTTAAATGACTAAAACCCTTCCCACACTGTATACAGCTAAAGGGTTTCTCTCCTGTGTGAACAAGCTGGTGGGTTTTTAATTTGCTTGCCAAACTAAAACTCTTCCCACACTGACTACATTTAAATGGTTTATCTCCTGTGTGAATAAGCTGGTGTCTTTCTAGATTACTTGCCTGACTAAAACTCTTCCCACACTGACTGCAGCTGAAAGGTTTCTCTCCTGTGTGAATAAGCTGGTGAGTTTTTAAATGGTTTGAGCGACTGAAACACTTCCCACATAGAGTACAACTGAATGTTCTCTCCCCCTTGTGAGTGCACTGGTGACTTTTTTTTTGACTTGATTGCACCGACAGTCTCTGTATTTCTGCAGAAGAAAGCCTAATTATTATCAAGTCCTCTGGGCCTCCCTGTTGTTCCTCCCTGTACTGACTCTCCTCTGTAAGCTGTAACTCAGTACTGTTCTCTTCATTAGGTACATCAGTCTGCTGCTCTGCAGGGTCAATCAACTGGGGCTCCATGTCATGCCCTATTACTTCAAACTCATCCAGTTCTTCTTTAACCACATGTACAGAGATGCCATCCAGTTCATTACAGCTTTGTCTAATATTTTTAGTGTCCAGATTATTAAACCTGTCTCTTACATCATCAGATACCAAGACTCCAGATGTCTCACTCTCAGGCTCTGTCTTTATCATGTGCACAGAACCCAGATCCTCCACACTCTGTCTGCTCTCTGTGTGCTGGTCACTGAGTTTCTCTTTCCTTTCTGCAGCAGTGAGCTCTGTCTCCTGCATTAGACTGAAGCTCCATTCCTCCTCACTGTGCTGCTGTTCAAGAGCAGCCCTTTCCTTAGCATCAGGGAGAGTACTGGCCTCTGAGCCTGAAAACACAGGACAAGAGAACAAGACCTTTAACATGGACTGAGAGTACAATTCAAAAGCAAATAACAGCACAGAGAAAGTAGAACATAACTTTAAGATACAGGGATTTATACCGTTTAGAACGAGAAGTAAAGAGTACTAAAGACAGCCCAAAGCTTACTTTTTGCTTTAACAGACAGACAAAAATGTACACTGAAAAATAACACTCAGGATTAACAACTTTTCTTCACATAAAGTGGGTATAGAAAGTCACCACTCCCTTTTAAACTTAGTACCTTTTGTTGTATGACACTCTGAAAATAAAAAGTAATCCACATTAGCCAAGTGAAAATAAAATTCTAAAACATTCTGAAGAGTAATTAGTATTCCAACAGTAAAATTCCTTATTTGGATAGATGAACGCCCCCTTACAACTGCATTTGTAAACTTGCTCATGTTTAACCAATCACCTTACAGATCACACAACAAA